GCCAGTTAAAAGGCAAAAGAAATCATTTCTCTAACCAATCACCCCTGATCCATTGGAATCTTCACATCTTCCTTCTCTAAACCAAGTAGCTTTTTCCTTGGACGGATTACAGAGCTTGAACAAATACCTTCAGTCTTCTTCCTGCTATTGAAGTTACCATCTCTCTTACCACTTTCATCATAAGGTTTCTTCTGCCATAATTCTCACTCGGTCTCACGTTTTATATTTTAGTTCTAAATGCATAGGTTATTGTTTATCAGATTTGACAGTAGTTTAAAGTTTGATTGGATGACTTGTATGATGGTTTATTAATCTTAGGTATAATACGATATGTACAACTTTTATTAATATTTAAATTTAATTATATTTATATGATAGTTTATTAATATTTGATAGTGATATTTGTTTTTATTTGAATTAATAATATACTATGATTGTATATTTATTTTATTTTATTTTTATTTTTATTTTATTTTATTGTATATAATAATAAATAAAAAATAAAAAAAATAAAAAATATATATAATATTAAATATAGAAATATGTAAATATATATAATTAAGAATATATATTATATAATTAAATATATTATATATATGTATATTTTTAATTAAATATATAAATATATATCATATAATAAAATTAATATAATTAAATATATTATATTTATGTATATATAATTAAAAATATAATTATATAAATTTAATTGAATATATAAATATATATTTATATATAAAAAAAGTATATAATAATTATATATATATATATATATATATAAATAATAAAACAAGAAGAAGAAGAGGTGCGGCTCTTCTTAAATAAAGAAGAAGAAAAAACTCTAGAGAAGAAGAGTCAAAATTGTGGGTACAATGATTTAAAATAAAAGGTAATTTTGCAAATAATAAAAATTATTAAGGGTGTAAAGAAAAAAAATTATCAAACTATTTTAAAATTATCAAATTAGTGGTTTAAAAAAATAAAAAAAAAATTATAATTTTAAAAATTATAATTCAACCATTTAAAAATTATATTATATATTTAAAAGTACAAGTACAAATAATCATAAAAAAAATTATATCATCGGAACCAGGCTCTTAATTTTAAGAACAATTAAATTATCCAAACTTTTAATTCACCAACAAAAAGTTCTCTCCACATTCAAGATGAGATACTTTTGCAGGACTTGCAGGAGGTATTGAAGTGAAGGTGTCTCAAAGAAGAGCCTATTTCTTATATGGTGATTAAAACATTGTACAGATTTTCCTTATTGTATATTTTGTAGTCTGTAATTTATATATTCATATTATATCAATTTATAAATTTAGAAATTCATACTTTTCAGTTATGAGATTATGAAAATTCAATTTATGTGAGAATAGAAATTGACCTTAAAGGAGAAAAATCTGACTAAACAAGCCTTCTTGTTGAATTTAAAAAGAGAATTTTGACCGACCTATTATAATTACTCACTCTTTGACATGATTATACTAAAATTTATTCACATGGCTCATTTTTGAAGTACTTATTTAATACTATGCTTAATTTTAACTTTGTGTAGAAAGTGGACCATTTTTAATAGTTAAATTGTGTTAATTTAAATATTATTATTATTATTGTTGTTGTTGTTTTGTAAAATGAATAATTTTAGTTATGATAATTCTAATACGTTGTAAAGTTATTTTTTGTAGAATAAAAAAAAAAATTCATTACATTGTGCTTTAGACGATAAACAAATTAGTTTCCCTTTTAGCAGTAAATAAAAAAATCACGCCACTACTTTGTCATATACGTGGGGCACCTAAAAACTGAAAAATTAAAAAAAAAATTTAATTTAATTAATTCAAACTAAAACTAAAGAAGAAAAGAAGATGAAGTCTGACATCGACAATTCAAAAGACCAAAATTGACTTCTTCTTCCCCTTGCTTCCTCATGATAAAATCCTAACCTCATGCATTCAAAGAAACCGTAAGCTCTTTCCTCTTTGCCTATTCTCCACTACTTCGGAAATTGCTAAAGAAAACAATTACAGACTTTTGAGTCATAAATGAAGTAGAAAAGCCACATATTCTAATGCTCATGGCCTAGAAAATTAGTTGAGAGTGCTAATTGTAATTAATTGGTTTTTAAACTGATTGGTAAACTTCAATTTTTTGCATGGTTGAAATCAATAGTAGTCACTAAATGTGCTTACGGTTTTTTGTTCTTCTTTACTAAATAATATTGATTTCCAACTTATTAATATTTATGTTTTTGGTAATTAAAATTATTAAAATTTATTATTATGTTTGCTTATAATTTATTTATAGTATTAAGTTTATAAGGTTCTCAATCTTCTTTTTCCTTGTTTCATATTTTTTAAATTTGTGAGAAGATGC